AAGAGTTGGTGAGATCATTAAGATTAGTGCAAATGATACCATTCCTTGTGATATGGTGCTTCTTTCTACCAGTGATTCTACAGGGGTTGCATATTTGCAGACACTGAATTTGGATGGGGAATCGAATTTGAAAACGCGGTATGCGAAACAGGAGACGATGTCGAAAATGCCCGACAAGGAGAAGATTATTGGGTTGATTAAATGTGAGAAACCCAATAGGAATATCTATGGATTTCATGCTAATATGGAGATCGATGGGAAACGTCTTTCTCTTGGACCTCCGAACATAGTTCTTCGTGGCTGTGAGCTCAAGAATACGAGCTGGGCTGTTGGCGTTTCCGTTTATGCTGGCCGTGAGACAAAAGCCATGCTTAACAGTTCTGGAGCTCCATCGAAACGAAGCCGACTCGAGACTCGTATGAATGTTGAGATTGTTATGCTGTCTTTCTTTCTCATTGCTTTGTGTACTGTTGTTTGTGTTTTGGCTGCTGTTTGGTTCATTAGAAACAGGGAAGATTTGGACATTTTACCTTTTTTCAGAGATAAGGACTTCTCAAAGGACCCACCTGAAACTTATAATTACTATGGATGGGGATTGGAGGCGTTTTTTGTATTCCTCATGTCAGTCATTGTGTTTCAGATTATGATCCCCATTTCATTATACATTTCAATGGAGCTTGTTCGTGTCGGTCAGGCTTATTTTATGATTCAAGACATGCAAATGTATGATGAAACATCGAATTCGAGATTTCAATGTCGAGCTTTGAACATAAATGAGGATTTAGGACAAATAAAGTATGTGTTTTCGGACAAAACGGGTACCCTTACTGAGAATAAGATGGAGTTTAGATGTGCAAGCATCTGGGGAGTCGATTATGGAGGTGAAAGTACCGATACGCTCGACGAGCAGATTGGATACTCCGTTCGAGGTTAGCAGTCTTGTTGATTTATCTTTTTTAATCCAAGTCTTCGGCAATTGAATTAGTTTAGCTCATCTTTTGCTCCTTTATGTTGCAGTGAATGGAAAGGTTTTGAGACCAAAATTGATGGTGAAAACTGATCCTGAGCTTCTACAGTTATCGAAAAGTGGAAAGCACACTAAGAATGGAAGATATATTCATGATTTCTTCCTTGCATTAGCTGCTTGCAATACCATTGTTCCTCTCATTACCAAAACTTCTGATCCTTCAGTGCAATTGATTGACTACCAAGGGGAGTCTCCAGATGAACAGGCATTGGTTTATGCTGCAGCAGCATATGGTTTTATGCTAATCGAACGAACTTCTGGCCATATAGTTATTGATATACATGGTGAAAAACAAAGGTAAATCATGCTCTTGCTTTGGTTACTCCATGCTTTAACATTGAAGCTCCTTGATTTTTATCCCGCAACTATTTGCCCTGTGATTTTTCTGAAGAACAAACAGATCACCGTTTTGAAACAGCCCAAGCGTACCACTAGTAGATATTATCCTCTTTGGGCTTTTCCTTCTAAGTTTTTAAAACGCGTCTTCTAGGGAGAGATTTCCACACCCTTATTAAGAATGCTTCGTTTTTCTCTCCAACCGATGTGGGATTTCACAATCCACCTCCTTTCGGGGCCTAATGTCCTTGCTGACACTCCGTCCAGTGTCTGTCTCTGATACCATTTGAAACATCTCAAGCCCACCGCTACTAGGTATTGTCCTCTTTGGGCTTTCCCCTCAAGGTTTTTAAAACGTGTCAGTTAGAGAGAGGTTTCCACACTCTTATCTGCTTCGTTCCTCTCTCCAACTGAGATGAGATCTCACAGTTTTCTCTCTTCCACTCTTTTAATGTTTTTTTCTAAATCTCTTTAATATTTGCTTGCAGGTATAATGTTTTGGGAATGCACGAGTTCGATAGCGACAGGAAGCGGATGTCGGTGATATTGGGGTGTCCAGATATGACCTTTAAAGTATTTGTAAAAGGTGCTGATAATTCCATGTTCACGGTGGCATGTGAAAACCTGAACATGGATATCATTCAGGTGACTAAAGCTCATCTTTATTCATACTCATCAAAGGGTCTCAGAACACTGGTTATTGGGATGAAAGAACTCAGTTCCTTTGACTTTGATAAATGGCACTCGCTGTTTGAGGAAGCAAGTACCGCTTTGATTGGCAGGGCTGCTAAGCTTCGGAAGGTTGCCAACAATATAGAAAACAATCTCTTGATATTAGGTGCCTCAGGCATTGAAGATAAGTTACAAAAAGGTGTGCCAGAAGCCATAGAAGCTTTAAGAACTGCAGGAATTAAAGTATGGGTTTTGACTGGAGACAAGCAAGAAACTGCCATATCAATAGGTTACTCCTCAAAGCTCTTGACAAACAAGATGACCCAAGTTATAATTAACGACAACTCGGTAGAATCGTGCAAAAGGAGGTTAGAAGATGCAATAATCATGTCGAAGAAGCTTGCTGCTACCTCAGGCGTTGCACTGGATAATGAAAGAAGTACTGAAGTTGCAAGGCCTTCTGTTGCTTTGATCATTGATGGCAGCAGCCTCGTTCATATTCTCGACGGTAAACTCGAAGAACAGGTAAATGCGTATAAACCTGCAAATTCTGTACGCTCTTGAATGTTTAAAGCCTTACTTAACTCACTCGTGTTTCAGCTTTTCCAACTCGCCTGTAACTGTTCGGTTGTGTTATGTTGTCGAGTCGCCCCATTGCAAAAGGCTGGAATTGTTGCTCTTGTCAAGAGAAGGACTTCTGATATGACACTTGCCATTGGCGATGGTAATTCTCAATGTCTTTGTTTTCGAGTTTTCCTTTTATCTTTGTAACAGCTCAAGTTCACTTGTAGCAGATATTGCCCGTTGTAGCTCGTTACCTATCGCTCTTAGCCTCACGGTTTTAAAACCCGTATGTTAAGGAGAGGTTTCCACACTCTTATAAGAAATGCTTTGTTTCCCTCTCCAACTCATGTGGGATCTCACATTTAACCCTCCTTAGTGGCTCAGTGTCTGGCTCTGATACCATTTATAATAGCTCAAGCCCACCACTAGTAGATATTGTCTACTTTAACTCGTTACCTATTGCCGTCAGCCTCACAGTTCTAAAACGCGCATGTTAGGGAGAAGTTTCTACGCCCTTATAAGAAATGTTTTGTTCTCCTCTCTAACCGATATGGGATCTCATAATCCCTCTCCTTTTCAAATCTATATTTCTCAACACATATCAAGTTCTTCGAATGTTTGGTCATAGAATTTGTGCTTGTTAAATCGTTTTGTAGGCGCAAATGACGTCTCCATGATCCAAAAGGCAGATGTGGGCGTCGGCATCAGTGGTCTAGAGGGTCGACAAGCTGTCATGGCGTCAGATTTTGCCATGGGGCAATTTCGATTCTTGGTTCCTCTTCTATTGGTCCATGGACATTGGAATTACCAGCGGATGGGCTACATGATCTTGTACAACTTCTACAGAAATGCAGTATTTGTGCTTGTTCTGTTTTGGTGAGTAGCTTGAATAAGATTTGTTCCTATAAGTTGTACAGCTTTGTTCTTGAGTTCTAAGAACATACAAGTTTCCCAATACTTTAACTTCTTGTAGATCATTACAAACTTACTGATATTTTCATGTATTCGTTCGTGTAGGTACGTGCTCTTTACGGGTTACTCATTGACGACGGCGATCAACCAATGGAGCAGTGTGCTGTACTCTATAATCTATACTTGTTTGCCCACTATTGTTGTTGGAATTCTTGACAAGGACCTGGGAAGAAGGACTCTTCTTAGGCGCCCTCAACTATACGGGGCTGGCCATAGACAGGAGAGCTACAACTCTGGATTGTTTTGGTTAACTATGGTTGACACTGTGTGGCAAAGCATTTCTATTTTCTTCATCCCCCTCTTTGCATTTTGGGCTACCCCCGTCGACATCTCGGGCCTTGGAGATCTCTGGCTACTCGCCACGGTCATCGTCGTCAACTTGCACTTGGCAATGGACGTGGTTCGATGGTATACTCTCACCCATGCTGTGATCTGGGGATCCACCCTCGCAACCGTTATTTGTGTCATTGTTCTTGATTCGATATTATCACTTCCCGGTTTCTGGTACGTGATATAATCCTATTTTGTAGCGTTTTCTCATTCTCCAACTTCGACCATTCTATATGATATAAGATGTTAAGTGAACGACTCTTATGCAACTTTGGCAGGGCGATATATCATGTGGCGGGCACGGCCTCGTTTTGGCTATGTTTGTTATCTATCGTCGTAGTAGCCCTACTTCCCCGTCTTGTCGTAAAATACCTTTATCAATATTACTGTCCATGTGACATCCAGATAGCAAGAGAGGCTGATAAATTTGGAAGGACAAGCGAGGTGGGAGCTGTACAAACAGAGATGGTGTCAGTTCTCAGCAATCCTTCACAACTTTGACACTTTAAAGTTTTGTAATTCTCTTCATGTAAAGAAAAATCCCACAATTCTTTAGGCTGCTTCACAATAATTCTCCAGTTGCCATCCAAAGGATTGGAAATGTAATATAATTTTTTTTTAAAAATAATTTAATTTTATTATTTTTTTTGTTCGTGATTTAGGGTAACCCATAATTTTGTTTGCCCTCTCTAGACTGAATGTTGGTCGAGCCTACTATGAGAATTCCCTATCAACAAGTTACTAATTTCCTTGACCTTTCGACATTAGGCTGGCGTTAGCCTCTATACATGGTCTTACGATAGCGAAGTCAAAGCAATACTAAACGAGCAGCACGAGACTCTTAGTCAAGCTTAAATGTCCTTGTTTCAAATTAAAGTGTTTATCCAAATCATTTTTAAAAAGTCAAGAAGGATAAAAATAGATATCATAAATTTATGGGCTAAACTAAATATTTAAAAGTTTTAAATTGTTATGATTAAATTATGAAATTTTAGATTTTTTTTTTAATTTTAATAAATATATAAAAATTTGGTCTGCCGTCCCCCTCCGGCACTCCGTCAAAATTCCGTCAGGGGTTTTGACCGAAACGCCCCTCCGAATGAAGGGCTTCATCAGGGTTTAACACCTCTCCTAGGGTTTCTCTGTACAGATCAATTCTTCATCAGCTCTGAAAATCAATGGCGAACGGATTAATGAAGCTCGCCGCGTTCGTCCCTCGGTCTTCTCTCGTCCACCGGCAATGGCACCAGTCCTCGTCATTTTCTCGTCTCGGTGTTCAGGAATATCTCCAGGTCACTTGCATTTCAATTTTGGTCTTTGTTTTTTACTCTACTAGTTCTGTTTCCGACTGTCGAGTACTTGCTCGATCAGCGAATACAATCGCTCTTGGTTCGGCCGGGACTTCAATTTAGCTACGATGCACAAGATTACATTATACTGATGTGATTTTTTCTGCGTTCTTTCAAGTATAAATTTGATTGTTCATAATGATAAAATGCCGAATTTGATGTCTCGAGTCGTTTCAATCATGTGGAAATTAGTGTAAAAGAAAATGCGTAAGATATGGAGGTTACTTCTGCTGTGTTACAGCGAACAGGGTTTTTTAATTTTTTTTCAAAGCAAAAAGAATCAAAGAACAATTTAATAATCAAAGTGTGACTCTCTTGAATGTTACAGTATATAATATTTTGTTCCTTGGAAGAAAAGTAGAAAAGAACTTGTCTGCAGATAATGGCATCGGATCATATGCAAATATATGCGTCATTTTTGGCCTCTTGTAGTTAAGTGATCAATATGCTTCTTCTTTCTCTCAATTTCAAGTTCAATATAGAAACCGTTTGCCTTGTCTGTATGTGCTAATTAGGGAGTTTTTTTTTTTTTTTCTTCCTGTAGGACAGTGTTCTGGTCAACTCAATAACTTTGGAATTTTAACTTTAGAATGAACTTGAGAGAGTTTGATATAGAGGGAATATAAATCCTGTTTTGGTCAGCTCACTTCAGCTCTTGTTTCTTCCTAAGATGCTTGTCGAGGTTCTTTTTTTGTTTATTATTATCTTTTTTTTTTAGGGGGGGTGAAAATAGATGTTTAACCCTGTAAGATAGATGTAGGTATTGCTCAGGAATTTCTCTCATTCTAATTATGATCCTGCATTAGTTACCAAGATTCTTATCCAATGTAGAAGATTCTCTAATTTGGGATTTCTAAAGACGATGTGTAATTGGTGCACTGAAGCCTGGCATTGCCAAGCGATCTGTTGGGTACGTGTGCGATAGTCCTAAGGTGCAATAAGTCTTTCATGTTGGATGCTGATTTTTAGTTATTATTTCTTTTAGCATTCATTGAATCATGGATGCCTGATTTTATTATTCATCAAATTTGCAGGCTGCACTTGGAGCTAATGGTTGGTTTTATTTACATTTATTTTTCTTGAACTTAGGTATTCTGCCATGTTTTTTTTTTTTTTTTTTTTTTTTTTTTTTTTTTTT